CAATGGAACCTAAGTAGTAAAATGAATGCAAGCACTTCTTAAATAAGTTAATTGAAGAACTTTCAGAGAACCTTTTCCCGCACCCTTGAATAAATTTGTAAGGTTGGGCTTTAATCGTATATCTTAAAAGCAAGTTGTATCAATGAAATAACTAAGTCAGAACTTATACAAACCAGAAATATGGCCAATTACGGGCTCAAAGTTCATAAATCTTTTAGGGAGAAGTTGAATTAAAAGGGAGAGGAGAAAATGTGAGGATGTGGGAATAAGATTTATGCTATAGTGTGGCAAAACTGATGTAGCGGGCAAAGAATTTCGATGGGAATCACTCCCATCCCCTCCTCCTCCTTATAGACCACACCTAGATCCGTCGGATTTTTTGTTACCAAAACTGGAAGAACACCTTAAAGGCACCCGACTTGCACCTTCAGACGAAGCGAAAAGTATGTAATTCCATGGTGCCAGAGACAGCCCCCCCTCTCCCCCCATCCCCAAAATCTACCAAGTGTGGGGGGGGGGGGTTGGAGAGATTTGCAGATGGAAGCAGAGATTACAAATGTGAATCGACAAAAATGTCGCCTATGTAGAAAAATGAATGAAACCACTTCTTAAATGAATAAATTATAAAATTTGTCGATAAATCTTCTGACTCGTTCTCGTATGAATTAAAAAGTGTGTTCCAATCGTATATCCTAAAAGTAGGTTATATCATGGATAATGAAATTAGTAAGGCTGCTTAACATATCTAACCCAAAAATATGAACAATTTCAGGTCCAAAGTTAACAAATTTATTTGAAGGATAATGAATTAATAATGAGGAGAGATAATGCGAGGATGTGGGAATAGGGTTCACTTCAAAAGGTGGAAGTACTGATGTGGTAGGCAAATTAAACGAGGGTTTGAAGTAAAGACCACATTTACTAAATTTGATTATAAAAGTCATGTGAAGATATGGGACTATTTTAAGGCCTAATTTAATACCGATTTGCTCTCAGCAAATAAATTTCTAGAGAATAGTAGACCGCTTTGACTAATTGTGTGGCATGGCACAACTATCAGAATGACCCACTTTGAAAAAGGCAAGCGATGAATTTTCATTTTTGAAGGAATTAAATCCCTTGGCATGAGATAAATTAATGACAGCGTCCGTAGAACTGTTACGCCTAGAATTTACGGAGTTATAGATGAATTCCAAAATAAAACGCCATGATACGCGTTTTTCTAGTATACTTTTAAATAAAATTGGCTAATACTTAAAGTTAATTGCTTTCATGTGGAAATTAATTTTTCATACCATATATCTCTGGAATAATTCAAGCTGAAATTCTTTGTTAGAATTGCCTATAAGCTTAAATTAAATTCATTTTGCTTAACAGGAGTCGTTTCTCGTTGATCTTGGAAGGTAAGTTTTCAACCACAAAAGATATGCTTGGTTTATTCATCATTCCTTTGAAAACCCTAATCCTAAAAGGCGAAATTCGAAACCAACCAATTAGATCAAGAATTCTTCCATTAATCATGTCTTTTTGAAGCCAGTGATTGATTGATTCGGTAGTAGATTGGTTTTAATAGATGTGGGCATTATGGTTTGTCCTTGGTAGTATTCTCGTAATTAGGTGTCGCAATTTCAGTTTTAACTCAACTCTCCCCACCTACTGACTTTGGGTCAGTTTCCATTAATTAAAATAGAGTTTTGTCTGAAGCATAGCTAATACAGTTTAGGATATTGTCTCTGAATGTCTTTTAATCTGGGCTAGATAGTCATACTCAGATCTTCATCTCTCTCCTCCCCCCCCTCCCAAAGGGAGATCATCCTGTGTACAGGTATTGAGATTCTGAATATCACAATTCACAGTTACTTGTAAGGATGTTCTATACAAATTTTTCCTTACTGGAGAAATGTACCACGTTATTGTTATGGTCATATTAAATCATATTGCATAAGGTCAATTACACCAGATTTGGCAGACAAAGGAATGAACTTGACAATGGGAATTAATTAAATATGCTCCAGTGGCAATGCCTCAAAGAGGGTTTACAATCTGATCCACCGCTGTTCCCAACTCTATTTCAACCATGATTTTATTTTACCCAACGATAGTTAATGAAACTTGCAGATTAGTTTTCGCTTTGTTTTCCTACGTCTTACCCATTGCTCATTAAGTGAGTTTCAGTCTTTTTTAATTAAAAAGAAAAAAAAGTGGAAACATGCTTTCCTGTTTGCGCATATTTCAATCATTTTAATTGAAGAATCTTGAAACAGAAAATCGTTCAAACAAAAGTGGCTCTTAACGAAAGCAGCATAATCAAAGTCTTCCATTTCGACAAATATGAAAATGTCAAACCACGCCCATAAAAGTACGTCTTTTTCTTAATGTGTGATTTGCCCTTCTATTGGTCGTGTAGGCGATTATTTACCATCCAATCAAATTTATGTCAGACTGAGTTCTAATAATTAATATCCGTATTGTAATATCTCCACTTTATCAAACACCAAATTAATGAAAGGCAAATAATTTGTGGAATTTACAGGTTCAAATTACTTTCATCTCCTAAAACATAATAGTAAATTAACCAATCAATCATAAACTTGGATAATTGCTGCTAATTGGGAATTAAAGCTGACTGCAGATAATTTGCTGAATTCATGGTGTTGTCATAAATGTGGCCTGCCCAACCCACGAATATCCACTAAAGAATTGCTGAGGCAAGAAAAGATGAAATGGAGAATTTGGTGCTAACTTTACTTGAAGCGGAGGGTGTATTTACAAATGCTGGTGAAGTGAATGCTTCTATAACGCAACAAAATGGATTTTTTGCAACCACACTAAAAGAAGTGGCGTTAGCTTAGTATCGGGTAAAAAATAAATGCAGGAAAACGTGACATGAAAAGGCTATTTTTGTCGTAGAAACATTTTCAACACATTTAAGTTAGTAGAGTACTTCAGAAGTAGATGAAAAGGTGAGCCTAATTCTTTGAACTAAGAGAACACTGATTGGCCCAATTTATCATGCGTCGAACAAGTCACATTACGGTTCTTATGGCTCAATTTGGCGAGATTTAAATCCTAGGATTCTGTACGATTTCATTTATCTCATAAGAGAAATTTGTTATTTGCTCAATTAATTGAATAACTGATTATTATACTCTGATTATATTGCGCATTATTATAGCCATTTTTTGGTAGATAGGATAGTGGAAGTATTTATAACAGTATAGCAATTTATACTATTTTTACCATCAAGTAATTATAAGGAGAGTTTTTGCTTATTACTATGTAAAACTATTGTTCCTCATAGAGTTTGGGTTTAATTGGTATGGTAAGCTAACAGGCAAGGTGGTTTTATATTTGACTAAATTCAAAAGCCTTCTTTAATTTTTGTGTCAGTAGGTTTCAAGGTTTTGTGGATTTTTATGAAGGTGCTACAGTCTAGAGAATCTCTATAAATTAGAACCCTTTCAGGTTTCGAATCTCGCAAAAAATAACGATTGATGCAAAGCCTGTGATATATTCCACTGAAATTGAGTAGTAATGATTGCAAACATTATACAAGTTAATGGGATTGTAATATCAATACTCAGTATTTATCTCCACAAAGAGCCATTTAATGGGTACATGGGTACAGTAATTAGTAGACAAAACAGAAATTGGATACTTCTCCGTCCATCCTTTATTTGGCCCTTATTTTAAATAAATAGCTTTATTGTAATGTGTAGCGGCTAATTAATCTAAATTAATTTAATGTTAAGTAGAAAAATCGTAAAAAATTATAAATCGAAAAAAAATTATAAATGAAGATAATTTGTATTCTGATCTAATATCCAATGCTACTTTTTCATATGTTCATTATTTTAGAGTGCTTTGTTTCATATTTGTTCAAAATACGGTCATTTTTGCAATAGTTTGAGGCGAAATTTAGTCAATAATAGAACTCCAATTAATTATTAATAATGTCGATGAAATTTTTTGCAAATTCACTTTACTCATGCACTTATTTTATTAACCAATAAAATATGCCTATTTGTTTTAATTCCATAGGCCATAAAAGTGGTCAACTTATTTGTGTTTAAATTCGTAGCATGTACAAAGTTTTGTAACTTAAGATTGTTGAGGTGGCGCCATTACCAAGCCTTGGACACTTGATCAATCCAACATATGCACATTCATATAGAAATCAGTAGATTTGTACTTATTTGTGAAATGCAGGAACAGATTGCTAAATGTAGACGCCATTGCACAAGAATTTACTCTTTTATCTTTTGCAACCTACATCTATTACAATTTTTTTGCAAACCACCTGCAGAAATAATCTTTTATTCCACACAAAGCTCAGCATATGTTGAAGTGAATGTTTTAAAACTCGACAGTTTCTTTAAATAGACATTCTGATGGATTGGAAAGACATTGCGGTGGATTTTATAGTAGAAAAATTCAATCTTCGATCAAAGGTATTCAATATTTTTAAACAAGCATTCAATCATGGATAATGGAGTAGTCCGTGAAATTAAATTTCCAAAAATGAAATATAGATGTTTTGCACATCTCACTGGGAAACACTCTACGTAAAGCAACTTAATTGTGAACTTTGTCCCTTAAACCCATAAGCACGCAATATGTGCACTTAATATGACGCCATAATAGATGGAAATATATGAATGGCAGCTATTAAATACAAAAAAATTTAACTTCATTTTTTAGCAATATATGGTTCCAATGTGATAGGTTTATTTTTAATATGCTTGTTCTAGAATTCTACATATTCCTTTAGTTTACCATGGCCACTTACTTATGAAATATTGAGTAGACTGTTTATTAAGGCATCGTAATTGAGTTCTGAAACTTGAAGCTGTTTCGCAAAGCTTAGAAAGTCATGGAAAATATTCGAAATAAAGAAAAAAAACTATCTAAATGAATTACAATTATATTCAAAGTTCACCTAAAAAAATTAAATGAATCAAAAGGTCAGAAAACTATCGTCCATTTTCCTGTGTGGGTGTTCATTGGCATTCATAGGCATCATCGTAATGCTTGTCAGTAAACTGTCCCTTGTATGGGCTGTGAAGGATTCCGAATGAGAATTTCGGTGGTTGGGGTTTAACGTAGTTCACCTGAAAATAAAATACCATACTTAGTCTACTTAATTTTGTCAGTAGTGTGCTATGGTAGTAGACAATGTACTTTGGTATTATCATAAGCAGCTGGGCCTGGCGATCTATCGGCATCAGTTTGTCGTGGTAATTGAGAACCCATTGTATATTTGGGTGCTGCAGGTTTGATGACGTCTGGTGAACCGAGTGCATATTCTGCTGGCCCAGGTCCTGACTGTAAAAGGCATAAATTTTCAAATTTTTAATCTTGTTATTTTTAAATTGTAAATGTGTTTGAAGTAGAAAAAATTCTCACCTCGTTGTGTTTACGCCCATGTCTGCCCGCTATGCTATACTGAGGGGCTGATGGCTTTGCACTCAATATATCTGGCGCAGGAAGCGAGTAAGCGTTGGGACCTACAAAAAATTATTATAAAATTTAGGCATTTCATTGGTCTCCAAAATATGGGAAGTATGAAAATAATTATCTGAAGTGGTTAAGCTGTCCACTCTAGTCGATCAGCTGCATGAAAGCTGCAGTGACCCCAGAGAGAAAGCTTAAATCTTGGCTTTCGGAAAAAGGATCTGTTAGCTATCATAAATAGTATGAAACCCTTGGGGTGTGCGAAAGACTTACCTCCACGTGGTGCGCCCAGGGCAACGTATAATCATACGGCATAAAGTCTATTAACTGGCAGTTGACTTCCCACTTTAAACTACCATGACCCCACTGTATGTCATATTCGACCACTTCCACAGTAATCACCTCACCTTGTTTCTACCTTTGTGCTTGTCTCTTACATCTTTGGAACACTCTTCTGTTCCCCCCTCCCCCCTCTGGACTTTTTGCATCTTTGAAACGCTCTTCTGTTCCTCCCCTCTGGACTTTTTCAATTTGATGTTCCTTCCCCTCTGTGAAGTCTGAAGGCAACTAAAGGGCTAGTGATAACCATCAAGACGCCTGCCATTTAATATAAATAAATAGTATGAAACCCAAGTCCGAAACATTAACAGAAATACATTTTCACCTCCTAAAGGAGTTCAATATTCTTCTTCTTTGCTATAATGGAAATTTTGGCATAATTAGCCTTCCATGTAAAATAAAACATAGTATCTGATTACAAATACTTCTTTGTCACCCGAAAACATTAAATAAAATTATTGATGGAAGGAGGATCACTATTTCCCCTGACAAAATTCGAAATTCCTTCATCTGTTCCTCATTTGTGTTCTCTTATATCGTACTTACAAGGTCAATTCCATGCACTTTTATTAATCTATTACACTAACACATCTGACAATTAAATACTAAATATATCTCATTCACCTCGACAATTCTTGTATTGAAGCTGGTGCACTGAATGTCTAAATTGTAGAGTTGTATTGCGGATGGAGTATTTTGTTAAAATAACCCAAATAGTTGGGTATTTTCAAGGGATTTTATGATGTGTCATATCTATCGGCTAAACCTTCGCTAATTTTCCAATCGAATATCGATTCCCAATAACAACATACTCCATGCGTGCATCACTAATGGCCCAGGTTTGTTTAACTATGGCTTATATTCCCGTGTGTTTCAAAATGCCTATTATCTAATCTAATGATCATTACGTTTTGAACATTATCTATGAAAGTAAAGTGTTTTATGCCATACTCAGTAATTAACTTTGAAAACAATTTTACAACTCAGTTATGGACTCAATAACTGCACTTACCAGGAGTTGAATTCTTGTTGTATAGATCAGGTCTTAAACCAAACTTGTATTCAGGTGATTTTGGCAGAATTGGTTCAAAATTTGGGAGATAACGGGCAGGTCCTGGACTTGCATTAGTGTCTGTTTTACCAGTTCGATATTTGAGGGTATAGCTAGGTCCAGGAAATTCCCCACGAACGGTCATCTTTGGATTCTGAGCATAAGCGGCTGGACCCGGGCTACTCTCACCTGCCTGATTAATCTTGGTTCGACGTCCGAATGAATATGAGGGGGCTTTGTAATGAGTACTTTCGAAATCATGACCTTTTTCGCCCACCAATGTTGGAAGTTTATAAATAGGTCCAGGTGAAGAGAACATTGCGCCAATGGGACCTCGAGGTTTGGTGTAGGGGTAATCCGGATTAGAGGAATTCATCTCCATTTCTGTTTGATTATTATCTGCCATTTGTATGTCCCTTTTAGGAATGCGTTGTTTCCTTTAAAACCCACGTTTACTTATGGATCAATAATGGTCAGGTGTTTTGGGAAAACATGAGTTTGTAGCAATCATCTGATCAAAGCATGATTTGACGAAGAGCAAGTTATTAGGATTTTATGAGAAAAAAACGACTTTATAAGCATTCATCTGTCCTAACCGATTAATTTAATAAACTCCTTGGAAGATACAATGCTAGATGATGAACGAAATGAATGCACTCTTTCCTTCTGCACACACTCAGTCACCATAGCGTAGGATTAAGACGACGCTAATAACTGAATAGTTGTAACCGACCGAGATGACGAAAATTCGGTCGCAAATCCAGTGGGCGAGGTATAAGGAAGATAGCGTAGACGAGCAACTAATCACCTTCAAATATGCCCAAATTGATACGTTCTCCCCAAATTCGATAGTTTTATTTATGTCAAATGTCAGGCATAATGATAGTAGTTGATATCGGGCCCCACAGAGGAGAGGAACATGAAAGTCACAAAGTGAAAGGGGGAAAGAAGAGTGAATCACAGATGTAAAAGAGACAGACAGATACACAGATATAGTTATTATTATTATTATTATTTCAAATGACAGGCTTTATGATATTCATCATTAGCCCCAAAATTGACTTCAGCTTTCCCCATGGGTGGGGGGGGGGGAACATATATAGCAGTTCGTTAGTTGCTTTCTGGCTTCCCAGTATCTCTATGTTTCCGCCGTTGTCTTTAGGGTTGAACACCGAATCTGGTGGGTCTTCTTCATTTCCTACTGTAGATAACATAGAGGACATGATGATTGAGTGTATACTCCTAATCTGTGAAAGTGTTTTGCCAGGCAATCGTGCCCGGTACGTAGACTAAACTCAGCAACGGCTTCGATTCTTGGCCAGTTGGTTATGTCGGAGAGTGCCACTGTCCACTGTTTCTCCTTTGTTCAAGCTTTAAGTTCGTTGAACCCTGACGTCTTGAGTTATGGTTATGATTATGGTCTTCATTATGTGGAAAGACATCGGCCGGCCTATGCCTCGCAACATTGTTGTCCCCTTCTTAGCAAGTGCATCAGCAAGATCATTGCCTTTAATGTCACAGTGACCAGGAATCCATTGTAGAACTTACCTTTGATGACAGTGACCAGGAATCCATTGTAGGACCACTGTTTTGTTATATTCTCTCAGCAGCTGATAGAGTTTTTACATTCGTATATCTCATATGTTTTGGGTGGCTTTCTGTTTCCAATTGATTTTATTGCTGACTGTGAGTCCGAAAGGATTACTGTTTAATGAATTTCGTATCTAGTCAACATAATTGGCTTAGTGCTATCCTAATGGCCTCTTATTCTCCTTCGAAAGCGAATCTATTGTGTCCCGCTGCTGCGTAGAAAGAGAAGAGTTCAGAGTAGACACCTACACCAACTTTTGCTTGATTTTCTATGTAAGACCCATCATTGAAGACTTGGAGCCATTGATCTCCGGGATAGTGGAAATTGATTATCTCAAGGGCCAGTGAGCGCATTTGTTCTGGAGGGGTGTTTGATTTGCTTAAGTAATCAAGCAGTTGGGGGCAACACACTATATCAGTGAGTTCACGAATAGAGGGAGGCCTTTTGGTTTGTCATCGATTTGTAACGGGCTTTCTGTATTAGACCAGATTGTGTTTTCAGATGTCTTTGTCTATTCTCATAGGTCCTGAAGAAGTTATCTATGGGATTGCGCAGTATCTTCTCATACGGGATCAAGGACTTCTCTTTGACAAGAGAACATATTGTGGTGCATCCAGAAATCAGGAGCATTGCATCAATGGGTGTTGATTTTATCCCTCCAGTAATTAGTCGTAATGCTTGGTTTTGTGCCTTCTCGAGTGATTTGAGAGTCACCTCTGTAGCTGTAATGAGTGGCTCACAGCAATACAACATCATTGGCTTAATAAACATCTTGTAAGTGGTGTTAAGAGTTGAGCGTGCACAGCCCCATACGCTACCAGAAAGACGCTTCAGTACTTTCAGTCTATTGGAGACACGTTCTGCTATTTTAGCAATGTAACTTTTCCATATTAGCTTTGTTTCAAACGTCATTCCGAGATAAGTGAACTCGTTGGTTTTTTCTAGGGTAGTATCCTTATTCCTTAGAACCGGGTTTATGGTGTGAGCGTTTTTCTTAGAGGTGGAATACCATAGAACAAGATCATCTGCATAAAGTAAGCACTTGATGCCCGTGACTGTATCACTTCGGCTATGTCATTGATGAAGACAATGAAGAGTTCAGCTTATGACAGCTCCCTGTGGAAGGCCTGTTTGTAAAAGACTGGATTTGGATAGTGCACTTCCATATCTGACTTTACATGATCTTTGTCCAATGAATGCTTGTATCCAGTTGAGCATGTTATGATTAATACCAATCTTTGCCAATTTTAGAAATAGCTTCTCTTTCTATACTAAGTCATATGCAGATTTGAAATTGACGAAAACAGCCATAAGGGTATTTCTTGCATCAAGGGCATCTTTGATGTGTAGGGAGAAAGTGGCTTCTTGTTGGTTAGTTGATCTTCGTGGCTTAAAACCTGCTTGTTCATTTGTAAGAATATTGTTGGTCTCAAGGAACCAGGTGAACCTCCTGTTAATCATTCTTTCCATAAGTTTAGCCAGCACGCTTGTGAGGGAGATAGGCCTATAGTTGTCAAAGTTGCTAGGGTCTTTGTTCTTTTTTAGTATCTGGTATTTACTATGACAACTTTCCATTGATTAGGTACGAGACTGGTCTCCCAGATTTTGTTGAAAAGCGTCAGCATTGTTTCCTTGGCTGTTGGTCCCATTCTAATTAGAAATTCCGGATGAATACCGTCTTCGCCAGGAGACTTCTTGCACTCTAGCTGTTTATCGCAGCATTAAGTTCGCAAGGTCGGAATGGTTCAGTAATTACATCAGCTGGTTCCATTCTAATTAGAAACTCTGGATGAATACCGTCTCCGCCAGGAGACTTCTTGCACTTTAGCTGTTTTATCGCATCATTAAGTTTTTAGCTGTTTATCGCAGCATTAAGTTCGCAAGGTCGGAATGGTTCAGTAATTACATCAGCATTAAGTTTGCAAGGTCTGAATAGTTCAGTAAGTACAGTTGTCGTGTCTTCCTTAATTTCACCAAACTGCCTTACTTGCATCTATATATCTCTTAAAGATTTTCTGACAAAAGGGTTTTTATTTTGCATGTGGGAATAGAACCTCGCAAAGTAGTTAACTATTTCAGAGTCTGTGGTAAGCAGTTTGTTGTTTAAGCGTATTGGTTCTTTCTTGAGTCTTTCCCTGTTGTTTTGGAGGTTATCCAGGATATCGTGGGTCTTTCCCTGTTGTTTTGGAGGTTACTCAGAAATTTGAAAGTGCGTTGGCTATCACTTTGATAGTTAATATTTGAGAAGAACTTGTCGAAGGAAGTCCGTTTAGCTTGTAAGATTGCTTGCCTTATTACAGCTGA